TTGCAGCAGTACATAGACAGGGAACAGCCAGAAATTCAAGCCAAATTTGAAATAGGGCATGGAATTAGGGATGCCATTGCTGATATCAGATGGATCTTGGCTGAAAGCAAAGCATGCCAGAAAGATATTTGTTGTTGTTGTTGTTGTTGTTGTTGTTATGTGCCGTCGAGTTGGACCCGACTCATAACAACCCCTCCTTGGTTTTCCGAGGCAGTATCACTATGGAAGTAGATTGCCCAACCTTCCTTCCAAGGAGTGGCTGGTGGGTTTACCTGCATTTTATTAGCTATGCAAAGGCATTAAACTCTGTGGATCATAAATTATGGATAATATTGTGAAGAATGGAAATTCCAAAACACTTAATTGTGCTCATAAGGAACCTGTACACGAATCAATAGGCAATCATTCAAGAGAACAAGGGAATACTGAGTGGTTTAAAACCAGGAAAGGAGTATGTCAGCATTCTGTTCTTTCACCATACTTATTCACTTTGTATGCTGAGAAGCTGGACTACATGAAGGAGATTGCAGCATCCGAATTGGAGGAAGACTCATTAAAAAGCTGTGATATACAGATGACACAGCCTTGCTTGCTGAAACTGAAGACTTGAAGTACTTACTGATGAAGATCAGACTATGGCCTTCAGTGTAGATTACACCTCTACATAAAGAAAACAAAAATACAACTCGCCCAATAAGTAACATTATGATAAATGCAGGAAACACTGAAGTTGTCAAGTATATCATTTTCCTAGGATCTGCAGTCAACACCCATGGAAGCATCAGTTAAGAACTCGAAGAATGTATTACACTGGGCAAATTTACCAGAAAAGATCTCTTAAAGTGTTAAAAAAAAAAAAAAAAAGATATCAAATTGAGGACTAAGGTACATCTGACCCAAGCCATGATATTTTCCCTCATCTCATACACATATGAAAGATGAACAATGAAAGAGGAAGGCCAGAGAAGAATTGATGACTTTAAACTATGGAGTTGGCAAAGAATATTAAATATACATGGGTTGCCAAAATATTTTTATTTTTAATACAAATCAGTCTTGGAGGAAGTATAGCCAGAATGCATTTTAGAAGCAAGGATGGTCTCACATACCTTATGCGTGTTATCTGATGTCCCTAGAGAAGAACATCATTCTTGGTAGGGGGTCAACTAAAAAGGGGAAGACCCTTAACAAGATGGATTGACACAGTGGCTGCAATGATGGACTCAAATATAGCAACAATTGTGAGAACAGTGCAGGACCGTGCAGTGTTTTGTTTTGTCACTATGAATCAGAACCAATAACATTTATTGAATCATTCCTAAATTCCAAGCATTTCTTGTCTACTAACTAATTTAATTTTCAAAGCAACCCTCTGAAGTTAGTTTGCTTTCTATTATCTCCATTTACAGATGAGGAAATGAAAGGACAGAGTGGTTAAGTAAGTTTCCACAAAGTCACCTAGTTGATATATGATGGAGTCAGAATTCAAATGCAAGCAGTCTGGCTCCAGAGCCTTGCTTTACTACTACTACTACTGTGTTGTATTGCTTCTCACAATTCATGAAAATTAAATAAAATTAAACTAGACAAGATGTAAAGTACTTCATTTGTACTTGACATGCAGTAAATATTTCAGAAAAGCAAAATTTTTACCATCACCACCATATTCATCATCACCATCACAACACAGATGATGGGTAAAGGCATGGGGAGAAGTGATAGAGCAAAATGAACATGTTGAGTAAAAAGCAGAGTTTCAGGCTTTAGTCTTTCTGACTATGAACATTTGAGGCAGGACCTCAATAAGTCCCTCAGCCCAGGGGAGGCTTCTAGGCATTTTGTTTTGCAACTTTCTGGGGATATATGTATATATATATGTATATGTATATGTATATGTATATCTACATCTATATCTCTGTATCTATATCTATATCCACAAAATGTTGCAATA